GGGGGCAGCGCTTGCACTTCGTCAGAGGAGACTGGATGCACTTCGGGAGGCTGCACTTCGGCCATTGCTGCTGGACCCTCAACTCCAGTGCCTTGCGCACCTTCTTCTTCTTCTTCTTCTTCTTCTCCCTCCACGGCCACCAACTCAGCGTCAAACGCTGGAGGAAAGATGGTGCACCCCTCTGCATCACGCTCCCACCTTAGAGGAATTTGAGGTCGGAAGTCAGCACAGAGACTCTCACCATCTTCCTCCACTCCTTCCTCTTGTTCCCCAAAGGTGACCGTTGTCACGTCCACCTCTGGGTACTGGGCCTTCACCTTCTTTCTACAGTCGGAGAAGGCCAGGATAGCGGTTGGCAGCTGGTAGAGTTTGAGAATGTTCTCGAACGTGCTGGAGTTGAGAAAGTTGCCAACGTGCTCCTCCATCCCGTTGTGAACCAGCAGGTTCACATTCTTCTTCAGCTCCGCTGCTCCTTTCCTCATGTTGTCCATGTATCTGTCCTGAGCCCTGAGCCTCGAGCCTCTCCTCACAGATCTTCCTCTTGCGTTCTTCGAGGACAAGCTTCGTGCTCAGGACGTCATTTTCGTTCTGGAGCTCGGTCACTGAAGGGAGAACTTCGTCCAGCCTCCTCTGCATCTCCCTCTTCTCCTTCTCCCATACCCCCTTTTCCTTCTGCAACTCATCCTTCTCTTTTTGGAGCTGATCGCACTGCCGCTGCAAGCTGGCACAATCTCTAACGCTCTCTGCATACTCCTGCGCTAGAGCGTTTGTCCAGCTCGCACTCTACAATGCAATCAGAAGTCAGACATCAGACAGACAGGATAAAAAACTCAAAACATACAACCGGAGTAAAGTCTAATTAAAGTACCTCTAGGGCATGCCTCACAACGGTATACCCCGCATGGCTAACCACCTCGTTCTTTGCCTGCACCCTATCTACCTCAGGAAGAGTAGCATTGAGGAAGTGCTTCGCCCCAGTCTTGTTTGTCGCCTCAAACAAACTCTTCTGGTAGAAGTGCAGAGGGGTGCACTCCCTGCCCCCACCAAGGCCTCGCACTTCGACCTCGCCCCTCTCCCTATCTTCAGGATTGATTTCTGGGGGAGAAGGCAGGGGCACGAACTCCACCACTTCGTCCCCCTTGGTTCCTAGCTCTGCCACCCTCCTCTTCTTCCTCTGGAGAGGTGCCATCTCCTCACTCACATCCTCACTACCCCCCATCATAGGCTCCGGCCTTGGCTGCACCTCCATAGCCTGGGCAGAGATGCTGAGCAGTCGCCCCCCCTCTGTCACCTCCTTCTCAGCCGCAGTTGAAGTCTTTGACTTCTTCCTTGGCTTCTTGGGGATGCGCAGGCCCCAGCAGCAGTGACGAACTCATCCATCTCAGCTGCAAAACAAACATCAATGTTAGAACACATCAGTTAAGCTTTCACCAAAATTGCACTTTAAAAACATCCACCAACCTTCCCCCAATGAGCTTGGCCCATAGAGCTCAGCAGCATCTATCGCCTCTGAGCTGGTGAGGAACAAGATATCCACTACGTCCCCATCTTCCCTCACCAGCTTCTTCACCTCCTCCACCTCATCCTCATTCAACTTATAGTTGTTCTGCTTGGTTTTCTTCGCTTTCCAAGCAGACAACTGTTCAACTTCGGAATCCCTCCTACTCCACTCGGTGTCATCCACAAAGAAGAAATTTTCTTTCCACCCTTTGATGGATGACGGCCCAGGAGAGAATAAATTCCTATTCCCTTTGCTGGACGACCGAGGACCAAAGTGGTACCACCCCTTCTCCCCCCTACCCCCAGCCTTAATTATAAAAAAATGTTTGAACATATTTACTGTTGGAACCCCAACCCCCCGAACTCTGCAGTATATAAGAAAACCTATTACTACCCTCATGGCATTGGGAGTTAGCTGGGTTATTCCTATACTATAATCTAATAATAGCCCAACCAGTAATTCTGGAATGGGAAACCTAAGCCCTACAATCAAATAATGCAGGTATATGGGCATCAAATGGTCTCGGGGTGCTGAGCATGCCCTCTCATTCACCCCGGCCGGCCGAATTAGGACATGATGGGGAAGGTTACAATTCCCCACTAATCCCCTAAGGCTACTCCTACTACCTAATTCGCTCACATACCCCCTCACCTCAAACACTATCTCTAAGTCGGGGTCATAGCACCCATCTACGCCACCCCCAGATTCTAACACATTTGAGGGGATCTCCCTTCCTCCTCCTCTACTACTACTTCTTCCCTCCTCTCCTCCACCGTCCTCTCCGAACTCGTTGGAGACGGACTGCTCTCCGTATCCATACTACCGTACTCCAAAGGCATCACTTCACTCCCCACCACACTCCTGGCCTCTTCGGAAGACATCTCAATTTCTGCACACAGGGGGAGGAGGAACGATGTCAAGACCCTAAACAATTTGAGCACACTCAATACATTCTCACTCTCAACCCTAATTTCCCTCCAAAAAACCCAAAATCAACCACAGAAAGGGAGAAAGGAGAACAGCACTCCGACAAAACCAAAATAAAAAATTCATAAACTTTACCTAATTTTGGTACTGGAAACTGTTGTTGAAGTCTGGATTGAAGCGCAAACCGCACGAAACCGCAGAAATT